CTGTATCTTACATAGCTGTGGGAGATAATTCCACCAATTTAAAGGCAAAGTATGGTACGGTAACAGAGTTGACGCAAGGTTTATGGACACACATTTTTATAAGAAAAAAGTTATTTTTAAACATTTTCATGTTGTAGAATTAAGTAAATTACTATTTAGGGCTTTTATAAATAAAATGAATGCAATATTACAAAAAGAAAAGTACAATAAAATACTTTGATGACTCGATACATGATGGAAAAAAATGCACTGACTAATTCGGACAACAAGAAATCATGATTTTTGAAAAGACACTTTTTACACAAATTATTATATTGTTATTGACTGTAACATCTTGTAATTCATAACAATAAGTAATAAATTATTAAAATAATTAAAAATATAAGCATTTGAAAAAAAAGCAGAAAAAAATAATGACTTCGGACACCAAATATACTGTAAGGCTGATGATACACAGGGCAACTTTTTGAGCAATGTTGCTTGGGTACTTTCTTATTGAGGATGGGTAACAAATGTATATACTTTAGATCGGTCGTGGGCCCTGTGTCTCACCTGGTTGCCCGTTGATGGCAACATTGCCCAAAGTTGCCCGGCAACATTGCTCAAAAAGTAATTTAAGTAATTTAATTTTTGAAACATAATTTCGGTTGTTCTTCAAATCATGTAAGATATTATAACCTTATTATTACTATTTTTATTTATTTTAAGCACAGTTCACTACTTGTTCTCTGAGGTTCCTGTTGAAGAAGTTGCACAGTAGGTTTCCTGAGCCAGTCGTGCAGGAAATCCCACTCGAAAATCCTGTGGGATTGTGCTGGAATACGTGAGCAAGTTCTGCGCAGTTTTTCTTCTTCTTTTCTTTTCTGAGGATTTCAGGAGAATGTCTTTTTTTTTTTGTGAGGGGCATTATGGCGGAAACCATGGTTACCATGGTAACATTAAGATGCCTCCTCAAAGAGGCGCTGATTTCTGTCAACGTGCACAGTTTATTAAGAACAATGAATATATAAAACAAAACTAAATGTTATGACACGTGCACAGAGAAACATTACTATTTATTCACAAAAGTAACAACATCTTTTACGCTCAATGTGCAAACTCAAACTGAGTGATGTGCTAAGCATTAAACACTCCCTTTACAGAAAGACAGCAACTTATTAGCAAGACATGCTAGCTATCTGCAGTCTGATAATACACCATTAGGACATTATGAGATATTATTCAACCATAGCAGTACATAAAATGAAGTCTTAAAGTGACAGATAATCCTCTTTGGTCTTTATGGCTGATGTCGCATCATCAGTGCCGCCTACTGGCTAGTCAAAGCATCAGCTTTATTTGTTCCCTGTAAAAATGCACAGCAACCGCTTTCCACAGATCCATAAGGAGTTGCTAACTAAGTTAAATCATCCTTCTTGAATTTGCCTCTAATGTAGGGAACATAATCCAGAATCAGCCGCCAGTCTGTAAAATGGACAACAGCCAGGCTACCAACTGTAGCCCATCCGACCAGCGTGGGAACCCTGAATTGCAAGAAAAGAAACAAAAAGTATGAAAAAAATCTATAATTACTAATTAATAGTTACTAGCATGCTATTCTAGAATTATAACAATGGAAACACATGCTAAATGTCAGATGAGCTGCTTGACTTTTAAGTTAACATATTCTAGTTAACTATTTATTAAATCCAGGATGAATTTACCACGTCCTGGCAATGGAGACATATTTGGGTCCGATCCGCTTTATGATTTTTTGCATATTTTGTATCTTGCCTTCCTCTGTTCAGAAAGTAAACATGTTCAACTGGCTGTTTTAGGACCCCGGGCTGTCCGTTATTAGCCTGATAGAAAATTCTGGAACTGAGGATACTGTATATGCATAAAACAGGTTTTTAGAGTGTGAATAACATAGTCAACAAAATTCTGGGGATGTGTTATTAACTGGTTTGAATAAGGATTATGAAATGCACAGGGACGCAAAAAAAAAACTGCAATGCAAAACTTTTTTTTTTTTTTTTACTACAATAGAAAAATCTGATTTACAAGAAAAGCCCTTTTAATTTTCGCTCATTTTATTAATTTTAGTTTTGTACTATATTTATCTTTTATACACCTGCTCCTACCGTTCTAATGCATGTTGTTGGTATTTTGTTTGTACATGACAAATTGTTTAATAAAAAAAAGCTAGATCTGGTTAAAATAGTCTGGCTAGCAGCTGCATAACGTAACTATTTGGAGCCTACAGATTTTGATCAGTCCACCCAGAAACAAAGTTTATAAGTTAGCTGGCTACATTGAGCACTTCTGAGAAAGATCTAGTCTAGAAGTTAAGCAGTTTGCGAGGTATGTGGCATCAAATCTGTGAAAGATATTCAGTTTTGCTCTGCAACGTTTTATGAAAGCCGGTTCACACCAATGACTATAACGTTTATATGACGACAACGACACTGAGGTACATATAGCTCACTTTCAGAATGATTTTTTTGTTTTGTGTACAGTTGATGAACGATAAAAAAAACAAAAACATTGACAGCCAATTAGGATCTTCGCGCTCCCTACTTCTCTTTACTCTAAGCATTTTTCGGAAAAGACCCTGTTTTCATACAGTCTGTGGAAAAGACACGCAATGGTAAGACTTTTATTACAATGTTTTTTATTTTATTTAACTCATTTGAAGGTATACAAGATCCAAAGCAAGACATTGAAAAAAAAGTATAATTCTGTTATTAAAAATGGCACATTTATTGCTACATTACTGTTATATACAGGACAGTTCTCAATACCTACTTTATATATATATATATTTATAAAAACAAAGACAAAATAATAATAATAATAATAATGACAAAAACCGGAGGCACTCTGAAGACAAAACAGCAGTATTGTTCATGTCCCTACTGCAACTGCAAGACACCAGGTTCTGTAAATCATCTCAATTCTGATGGAAATCATGGGCAGCAATCTTACTTCGGTACACGACGATTCATTCAGAATGTTCACTCAGTTGGACATTCAAGAGAAGATGCTTCAGGGATAAAAAGAAAGTAATTTCAGGCAGGAGAATCTTTGATGACAGGACAACCCTCCTTCAGCATCTAAAGCATTAAGCGAGAGGCAAAAGCAAGCCCAGCACTCAAATATTTTATAGATATTTTCAAAATGAACACTAATTTCAGATGGTATCAGCTGGCTAAATTGAGAATCACTCATAACAGTCTAGTGTTTCCGGCCCCCATCTGATGAATCGACAAAGATCCTTCAATTTTCTCGTGTGCTTCACAAATCACAGGACACTAGCGTCTTGAAAGCAAAAAACTAATTCCAACCTAGTCGAGCCAAAGATGACAGGAACGAGAATCCTAAAATTGCCAAAAAGGTGCACACACAAACACAGCATAATAATGAGGATGAAAGACTACAATGTTTCTAAATTGCAGATTAAATACTACACAGATGCTTCCAGAAAGAAAAACAAAACAAAACCAAAAAGACATTTTTGCATTTCAAAATAATAAAACAAATGGTCAAGTTTACAATGAAAGTAAGTTTAGGCACTGACAAGGCATCACTCTCAAAAATGAGTCTTGAGAATAAGAAGGCCACGATATATAAATGTTCAGCAACTTTTTATCTTTATCAACAATTGATATTATGTTTCCATTATACTTTAGGACAACCTAAGTTCAGTATCCCCCTTACGGTGAAATGTTATTACTCAGAAATAATATCCATTGTGGACATTGTGACAATTACATAGGTTATAACACCATTCCTTTCCTACATACATACTTCAACATCATCTCACGCACACAACAAAAAATGGGTTGAGACGTACACCTTGAAATGACCATATGAATCAACTAAACTCACAGTAAGCCAGTCTGATGGAGACGTGAGAGTGTTTACATTTGAATATTACATTCAAACAGGTTGCATTATGTGCATTGGCGAGACTGAAATGATGGTGAACGCTGCTTAGGCACTACACCTTTGCCTAAGAACACTTCTATTGACGTACGGTTCCCTGAAATCAGGAAACTATCACGAGGATTTAAACCTCGACGCGCCCCAAACCTTCATTATCAATTCTCTTTATCATTTCTTCGTTAGCATAGAGCTATCGGGGGGCGTCTGGGATAAAAGTAACGATGGGTCGCCTCACCCAAACCTTACGTTTGTGAAAAAGGTTTCTTTTTTTTTTTAAATCGTACGACGTGTCTCTGAGCGTTCACTTGCGCTATAGACTCTACACTTCAAACTAATATGTTTTTGTTATTTAGAAATCTACAATGTATAGACTAACAAAAATATATATTTATATATATTCTTACTTTTTTTTTTTT